AAATCAGGAGGAGGAGCTGTGTGGTGAGGGGCGGGGAGAGGGAATCAGCCAGCAGGGAGCCGGACTCACCCAGGCGCATTCAGATCCCAGGATGCTGCCCACCCCACTCAGGCATCCCCGACGGAGACAGAGGAGAGTGAAGAGAGAGTGAGAGGCAGGAGGGGGAAAAGAGAAAAAGAGAGACGGAGCGGAGAGAGAGTGAGAGGCAGGAGGAGGAGGAGAAGAGAAAGGGAGAGTGAGAGGCAGGAGGGGGAGAAAAGACAGAAAGAGATGGAAAGAGAGGCAGAAGGCTGAGGAGAGCTGAGGGGGGAAGGGAAGCAGTAGGAGGAGGAGAGAGAGAGAGACGGAGCGAGAGACCGGAGGCTCAGGAGAGAAGACCGACGTGGAGGAGAGACCTGAAAATCCCGTCTTTTGATGGGCTAATTGGCTAATATTAAAATAATCACTAATGCCTTTACTCTTGGAGGCAAGATACAGATGGACATTAACATGTCTTTGAGAGATTAAAAAGCATCCTTTTATGTTGGTTTCTCTAGTAGCCTCATATAGTGTAATATGGGGAGCATAAAGAATATGGGATGAAACTTTGGATAATTCAGTGGCTGGAGCCCTGCAGATCTGTGGATATCCATTTTATATCTACAAGGATATACATCCATAAATGGAAATGTGGATATCCACAGCTTATTTTTGCAGCTGTGAGTGAAGATGTTTATACAAGTTTTATATCTAAAAACCTGCAAATTTGCAGAGATCTCATTTATAAATGTGGGTATCTGAATCTGCAGATCTGGATGCAGATATCTGCAGCTCATTTTTGTGGATACAGATGCAGATACAAATTTTGTATTCATGCAGGGCTTTACCAATGGCAGTACCATTGAGCATTATGGGTTTTGCATGGGATTTAAAGGACAAAACTAAACTTTAAACTCTTCACTTTGCAAAGCTTCCTTATGTATGTCCATTTTTCTAGTGTACCTTGTGATAACACTTGGCAGCAGCCATAACATGTTGTGCTAATAGAATCGGACTGGATGAGATGCCAATGCAAAATTGGTTTTGCTGGCAGGGCATTAGTAGATAAAGGGAATTTTCACATGTTTTCTGTTAGCTAACATGACAGCTCC